CTCTGTTGTGTCACTGTCCATTGTGGGCTTGATTGCCGACATGCTCTACAGTGTTACAGTTTGATAAGCGCCTAACTCTGAGTTCGGTGCTGCTTTCCACCAAACACGTTGGTGGTGTGGACAAAATGATTTTTTTCAAAGGAGAATTGTACTCTGTACGTCAAAGATTTAAGAATTTTTATATTATATCTTCAAATATTAAATTTTGGGTAAATTGTAAATTACAACTTGAAAGATAGTTTAAATCTCAATTTGTATTTCAAGATAAAAAATCTTAATTTGCATTTTCAAATATATAAATTTGTATTAATACACACTTGAAACTAGTAATTATCGGTTTGTCGTCTAAGATTAAATGAATAAATTATACTTAAACGCTCTCATGTTTGTCGTTTAATATTAGATCCCTCACTTCTGAAATATTATATCTACATCCTCTTAGAATCCAAATGACTAAAAATGTTCTTCCAATTGGGCATCTAAATAATTTGTTCAAGTATTGTATTGTATTGAACATAAAGAACATTATATAAATATTTGCATTATATTGGACATTCAAATGATAAATTTGATTTTGCACTTTAGAGTAAAATAGGTCTATAAAATAAAGGGTAGCATGACAATTATAATTTTTTATTAAGATAAAATTATATTTTTTTTAACGTTTATATTAATATATATTAACGATAATGGGTTATGTGTTACACATGTACAAACATAAGAGGTGTAACAATAATATTCTAAAAATGAGGAGGTCCAAATGATTAAGTGATAAATTTGAAGGGGTTTAAATGTAATTTATCTAATTAATTTTAAACAACAACCTGACGGCTATAAGCTTCATGTGCACATTAATACAAATTTATATTTTTAAGGGTACGAATTGAGATTTTTATCTTTGAGGGTGTAAATTGAGATTCAAGAGATCTTTTGAAGTGCAATTTGTGATTAACCCTTAAATTTTTTATAATTTTATTATTAATATATAAAAAATGTTGCAATTTGACCCTTATGTTAGATTCTGTTATTTTTTCGTCAATGTTAATGGGTTGATTTTTTACGGAAGAAATAATAGAAGTTAACAGAAGGGTTATATTATAACACTTTAGATACATTAAGGGTACAATGTAAAAAAAATTATCTTTGAGAGTACAAAATGAAAATCTTTAAATCTTTCCGGGTGTAATTGCATTTTACCCTTTTTTCCAAACTACGTTTAAGCATATTGCTGAATAATAAGTGGTGCAAAATGATAATAAGTTGCGTTTTCAGATGAAAAAGTAAACTGTGCAATCTGGAAATTGAAATCATGGAGCAAATTAAGAATTTGAGCATCTTTCTAGTACAAGGTGCGATTTACCAAAAAAGATAAACATTGTTCCAAAAAAATTTCAAGAGCCAATTGCAAATCACACACCCTAAGACAGGCACAACACATAGAGGGATTGTACAGGAGCTGAATAATCAAGTATGGATGAGTGCAGACAGATGAATGTTTCTAATGTTTCTTGAAGAGGGTCATTTTTCTAAATAAAGAAGCCCAAGAAATTTGTATTTCTGCACCTATATATATATATATATATCTCTCTCACTATGGATCAATAGAACCATTGAATATAGTCCATCTCAGGCTAACAGCCATGACGCCTCTCGTGAATCATTTATATCGTCTTGTCCTCCCTCCATACCTTGAAAGCAATGGACTCTTGCCTTGCTCAGGTTATAATTCAACAACCATGTGACATGGTTAGCACATGAAGTCCGCCCATTAGGGAAATTTAAGCATACTAGGGTTATCCGTACAATGCACCACAAGTGTGTATTTTTTTTATATTGATATTAAATGATTAATTTCAATAAGTAGATTCACTATATTTACAAGGTTAAAACATATATAGATAAACTTACTGTGATTAAAATGTTAAAATATAAATCATAAAATAAGTTTTCTTTAGTTAAAGGGTGTTGAGACTTATGCCTGACTACTCTATCGAATTTTAAGTCGGCCACCGTAATTTGAACTAGTTTAAGAACATGTTTTTTGAGAAACAAGAGTAGTTAACCTTTAGAAGATACAAGAAATATCGAACTTAAGACTTCTTACTTACAAAAAGGCATATTTGACTACTATACCACTCTTAAAGGTTCATAAAATAAGTTGTTGTGATGAAACGATATAGCCCAGAAAGCCATGTGACTACGGTAGTAAAAGAAATCCATGTTTAAGGAAAATATAAGCACGTAGGTCCAATTTTTCACCCACATTTGGTAAGACAACCCACCCTAGTCCTGAGAGGGTATATTTCCCTTTGTTTTTTTGGGGGGCAATTCTTCCCTCTCGATTAGCTACTTGGTGGTGGTCCTCCATTCCCACTCTCCACATCTGAACTGAAGCAGAGAAATTTATGTGCATGCATGGCTGAAGTCAAACAATAACCACTTTTCCCAAATGGGTGCGAAAGAATTAACAACTGTACAGCTGAATTTCAAAAAAGTCCAATCACAAGAAGTCATTCATGCCCAGAAATTAAGCATCATAATTTATGAAGGATGTGATAAGTCAATTGTTTGGTACGTTGGCATGTGGTAATTGGACCTTAATACTTCTTTTTTTTTTTTTTTTTAAATGGTTAGGAATTTTTAGGCCAACTTATGCACATTTTGATAAATTTTTTTTGGGTCCGATCAAATGTAAGGTAATTATAAGAGATAACTTTCTCATGACCTGACAAGGAGTTGACAAGATTCAAATTTTAGACATTTAAATTTGTAACTCGTCTCTGTTATCATTTGAACTTTTCCTTGAGATTTACTCAATACTTCTATGCATATATGGGATACACGATGGATCGAAGAATTTACTTTAAGGGGTTGCTTTAACAGAGCCTATATAATTTGAGAGTATTTATAATTGTTAACATTAGAGTAAAGCGATGATTTTCAAACCTCCAGAGGATGATAGCCCATTTGGCCTTGCCTAAATCCCGTTAAGTTCAGATTTTAACTCATACGAGATAATGTAAGGCTTCAAATTTATATTACTTATAAATATCAGTATTTTTGAAAAAAAATTAATTTATTATTTATATTTAATTATTATAATAAAGTCAATTATATTTATCTATATCGTGTCATCTAAATTTTGTTTTTCACTCTTATTTAATTTTTAACTTATTTTGGACTCTTTTATAAGGGTTTCAATTTTTTTTGAACTTGTTTTTAGTAGTACAATCACATACAATCTTTTATATCTATATAAAAAAATAAACTCTTTTACATATTAAATTACATATAGTTAGCAAATTGAATTTTATGGTCAAATATATCTTATATTTTAGTTTTTAATATGCAATACTATAATTTGCGATTTAATCAATCTATTTAATAAAAAAAAATTAATAATTTTATAATATAATTAGATGTGCAAATGCCTAAATGAGTATGAGAAATACCTAAATAAATGATAGTTAGATACTCAAAGATTTATAGAATAAAGTAATAATTAAAATTATTAATACTTAAAATACGGATTAATTATTGGACACCTAATTTATTGTTTAATTTAGTTATATGGAGTTGAGTTATATGGGTTCGTTTATATAGGGCTAGATTTGAGTTCAACTCTTTTGGAACAATTTTTTAAATTTGTTTAAAAAATACGAATTCGACAACTTAACTTGATTATCAACTATAACTTCAACTTATTTTGGGTCAGAAAAAGCCAACACTTTCCATAAATTTGAAGTTCTTGGCTAATTCAACCAGTCTCAGCATTCTTGCTAGACTGGGTTTTGATCATATTGTGGAAAATTGGCAAGTTTAGCCAGTATGTATACGAATTCCAACTGGCACCCAAGCAATATGAAACCACTGTCCATTATTGTAGCACAACATGTGGCTTAATGCAGGTGACCACCACCCAAAACTGAAAAAACATTTATATATAAAGAATGACACACCATGTGAGGTGGGTTGCAGAGTTTCTGTATTGGCAGTAAGGCTAGGTAATGTTGGATTCTGCTCTCACCCACCTTGCCTACAGGCTGGTGTCTGTTTGCAATTCAAATTTCTATTGGGAATATGAGCTAGGTTGGATGGTCTTGATTAGCTGGGGACACAGCATTTACAAATTATTTTGTTTTAAAAGGTGAATAATCTTCTCAATCATGCATTTTCGGTTTTAACAAAGACTATGAATATACACAATCGCTTACAAATCATGCAATTCGGATTTCCAATTTATCTTACGAGGAAATCCCAAGTAAATCTCACAGAATTTGTGCTGTATTTTCTTAGGTAACTTGATGCCAGAATGAAGTAAACAATTACATAACTCATAGGGATAGGCTAGTGGTTAAGTATAACTTTTGGTAACTTAGATGTTTCAGATTCAATTCTTTCTCACATCTTTTAAAGGTCAATCACTCTTATTCCTTTAAAGACATGTTCTAACCCATCTTAAGTCATGGTGACTAACGGTTGAGTTCGAGGGAGTAATCGGAACAAGCTAAAACACATTGTAGTAAAAAAAAAAAAAAAGTAAACAATTACTTTCATAGCAAAAAAAAAAAAAAAAACTACATTTGGTACTATATAACAATACTGTAGAGCTACAAAATTGCTTAGTTAGAGGTCCACCGAGCACTGCCGTAGGTCACATTTGCATTTTGTATAAACTTTCATTTACTTCATGTCAGTTAAAGGGTATATATACAGGAGTAGCATGAATGGAAGCTCATTGCTGTCCAAGCCTCGGAAGTCATCTCTCTTTCTCTCTCTCTCTCTCTCTCTCTCTCTCTCTCTGGTTTTATTAAATTGATTGGTTAATGATGAAGAACATTTAGTGCTTGGGACACTTCTGTTTACCATCACATTTTATTTGTTTTTGAAAACCAGCTAGTACTAGGTTTTTCAGAGCCTTCTCATTCTTTTTGGTTCTGAATTATGAGAAAAAGTTGTGAAACTGAGGAACATGAGATTAATATATATCTCTCAGTGCTTGAAATTTCATTCTTGAAACCTTCAATCTACTTCTAGGTTCTAACTCTCTTAAGCTACACACAAGGCCAGACAGATTCAGAGAGCTCCTGAAGATTGTTACTGCTCCTTTCAGATATGAAGCGGTTTAGTAGTTCACATTCTTTGGGTCCTTTGCTTTATCCACCTGAAGGTAAAGGAAAAATTCGACAACACCCCTCTTTTCTTTTCTGTTTTTTTTTTTTAAAAATTGCCCGAATTGTTCAGGAATGCCCATCTCTTCATTCTGTTTAATCTATGTTTGGGTGGTGAGAAAACGAAAGAATTCTATGTTTAAACTTCATGTTTTTCATTGATTGTCTTCAAGAACTGAAGAACTCAAACCAATTTAGCCAGAAACTTCTGTCTTCTCCTAATCCTAAACAGTGAAACTCCAGGACTCAGATGTTTTCAGCTTCTTTTCTTTTCCTAGATTTTTCTTGTCAACCACTGAGCAATAAGTGGCTTTCCTGTGTTTTTTTGTTCATGGTGTTTTTTTGATGTTGTGAGAAAGAAATTCACTTTTTCTGTCTTGTTCCCACAGAGATGAATCCCAAGAAGCACATGAATTACAGTAGTGAGTTTCAAGCAATGTTGGATGGTTTTGATGATGAAGACAGCACAGAGGAAAGTGGCCAAACGTCTGAGAAGAAAAGGCGATTGAGCATTAATCAAGTGAAGGCATTGGAGAAGATCTTTGAGGTTGACAACAAGCTTGACCCAGAGCGAAAGGTGAAATTAGCACAGGAATTAGACCTCCAACCACGGCAAGTGGCCATTTGGTTCCAAAACCGCCGTGCCCGTTGGAAGACCAAGCAAATGGAGAGAGACTATAACCATCTCAAGGCCAATTATGAATCTCTGAAGCTCAATTATGATAAACTCGAGCAAGAGAAAGAAACTTTAATTACAGAGGTAAAACCGTACTAAGAAGTTTCAATTTTACCATAGGAAGTTGATTACTGGAATTCACACCGATAATAGTGAATGATGCATATTTACCATGTCTAAAAGTCGAGGAACACTTGGACTAGTCTTTTCAATCGCTCTAGTGGGCATAGGCCAATTTACTTGATTGTTTTATTTTCTCTTTCATTATTCATTGCATTGCACGTTCACTTGTTTGGGGGGATGGGTTGACTACATTGCCTCTTTTGGTGTTTGTGTTGCAGCTAAAAGAGCTAAAATCAAAGCATCCAAAGGAACACAAAGAGAGCAGTCACTGTGACAAGGAACCCATGTTTTTGAAGCCACAAAACAATTTCTTAGAGCAAAGCCAGGGCTCTCCTACTAGGCTCTGTGCTCAACCTCAACCAGCCAAATCAATCCACGAAGTCTACCACAACATAAATTTGATAGAGAACACTGGGTTAATGGATTTCAAAGACAGGTTATCAGATAGTGATTCCAATGTAGTCATAAATGAAGACTGCAATCTCCATGGTCACCAACTGATATCACCAGCTTTATCTTCCTCAAGATTCGATTTTTCGTCGCCGTCTTTGTTTACACTGATGAATTATCCTCAGTTTTTGGATTCAAGAGGGATTTCACCGAGAGTGTATCATCAACAACAATTCATGAAGATGGAAGATCAAAGTTTATATAGTACAGAGGAGTCCTGCAACATCTACTCTGTTGATGAAGCACCCTCCCTTTATAAATACTGATCCATAATGGCTGTGGCCTATAGTTGATATATGTAGAAGCTATGAAGTTCAAGGATTTTGTCAATGAAACTTCAATAATAATATTGATTGCAATATGTAGATTCACAGATACTAAAACTATTTCACTGAAAAGTTGGCAGTGAGCAGTCTTTATTTTTTTTCCTTGTGTTTTGGCCTTCTGATAATTGAAGGGGACATTGGCGGGAATGATCAGATTGGTCTTGGTTTCTGTTCTTTCAGATGAAAGTTGTGAGCTGTTTTGCGGGTCTTTTTTTTGGGGTGGGTATTGTTTATTGTTGGCTCTATGGTAGAATTACTCGGGACTTGAGAAGTGGTGGTTTACCCTGCATTAGATATCAAATGTTCGAGTCCATTATCTCCGACTCGTGCACTTATAGCCTCGGTCGAGCTGTGATTTATTATTCATCGACGTTACAAAAATTTCATCCATTTAGCTGCACATTAGCTAAGGATAGAGATGCAACTTGGTAGGTTTTAGGATCAACTCTAATCCAAACCTAAGTATTAAACTTTCAATTTTAACCCGACTTCAATTTGAATATTGTCCGAGTTGATTTCGGATAAATTCGGATTGAAATTAGGTTATGCAATTTAGGCTCAATTCGAGTCTAATTTGGATTGGCAATTCAAGCTCAACAACCAATAATCCTAAATTAGGTGTGAGCATTTGCACGATGTTGGGCTATTACATAAGCTTAAATTTTATCCGAATTCATTTCTTTTGAAATTTTTCAACCATAATTTTAACTCTAAAAACTTTAACCTTTATCACTATTTTTCTTAATTGGGCTCGGGTTGATCCGCCCTGTTGCACCCTAGATTAGGATAGGATAGCATAGCATTAATGGCAATAATTGCGATATATGTGTCATCTGAGTACACATTCAATACAGAAGTGGCCGCATATACACGATGAACTGTTTGCATTGGGAGAAGGTGAATAGTTGTTTTTTGTCTGTCGTCTATTAGCTAAGCATGTGATATGTGCATGGCCTATGATGGATCTTTGGGAGCAGGTGGAACAATCACCCTAAAAGTTTGGAAAATCTTCGTATACTATTTTTACCAATGATAAACTTCTAACTGTATAAACTTTTCTCCTTTACTAAATTTATATATCCATCCTACATCATGTCCATTACATCAAATCGTCTTAGATTCAAAAGATGCTAATAACTTAAATACATAGATCATTCCAAGATTCATTTTCAATAGAGATCGAGTCAGGAGCTCACGATGTGAGATTTAATCATGCATTACATGCGTATTAGTATAATTTTATGAGTTAAATTATAATTATGTAAAATTATTAAAGAGTTAATAAAATTAAATCTTTCATACGCATAATGTGAGTGATCATACATTGGGTATGTGGACCCCGTTAGTGATATATTAGTGAGACCCATTTATAAAAATTTCATATGTAAAAATACTTAGTGGGTCAATTACAAAATTATTTAAAACTTGGGGGGAGCAAATATAATTATTCAATTAACTTTACACATGTTTAACTATGAAATTGGTGAGTCATTTGCCAAGTTAAGTGGCTGCGTGTGTGTGTGCGCGCCGAGTGTGAGTGTGTGTTTAAGGTGTGAAGTATGTGTGTATTTAAACATAAAATAGTGTGTGTGTTCTGTCTTGTTGAAAACCTAGAGTGAGAGAGAGTAAAAGTGAACAAAGAAAATATTTTTGTGTGAGTCTCTTGACCCGTGACCAAGGAGGAAGCGAGGGAGAGTGAAAATAAACTTTGGTGGGTGTTATTAGTTCCAATAGAGAGGGAAAAAGAAGGTATATAGAATTAAATTTAGTATAAGTTGTGATTAATTTTAATATGTACGTATTTATATATGTGTAGGCTATTTTAACATGTTTTAATTAGTAGGTTGTTTTAATTTAAATATATGAGCTATTTTATTTTAATTTTAATGGGCTATTTTAATTTAAATTTCATGAGTTGATTTAGTTTAATGTTAAAACAGATTCTGTATGGGCGTAATTAAGTATATTTAGCATAATTAACGTGCTATTGAATATGGGTTCTAAATAGGTATTAAATCGAGGGTGAGAAAAATGTGAAAAAAAAATGATCATTTGAGATATTCGAAAAGTTTTTGGTGGGCTAGGTTAGAACCGAAATTATGAGAGTGAAATGGATGATTTAAAAGTTCAATAAGTGACTGAAATTTCATGATTAAATGTGTGTGTGAAATTAAATATGGCTGTTTTATACGATGAGTACGATAGAGATTGGAAAGGGATGCCGGTAATGCCGAAACCCTAAGTTTTAGATATTATTATCACATGTGTGAATTTTAATCCAAATGACCTGAAATTTTGCATGCAACACTTTTAAATGATACTTGATGTGATAATGTAACTTTCGCATACAAATGAGTATAATATCCAGTACGAAATGTATGAAAATACCAGAAATACAATTTATAGGATTCAGGGTCAAAATGTGTGAAAATGGCCCCCCTGGTCAATGTGTTTGACCTACTTAATCCTAATTGTGATTAATGTGAGTAATTTTAAAAATTTGAGGAGGAAATGTGATCCTTAAAACAAAAGTGCTAGTGTATGAGTAGATAACGCGATAACCAGAGTTATCGGGACACTGTGGAGTGTATCATTTTTGCATGCATTAGTGCATGATTAACTATTAAATGTAATAAATCTATTAATATTGTAATTACACATGTGTTAGGTGAAACAGGTGAGACAGTTGGTGTCGGAACAGATACGGTAACATCAAAATGATCCACCAATAGAATTGAAGGATTGTAAATCTGTATATTTGAGATGGGTGTATATCTTTATATGTTTTGAAAATGTTACTGTAAAATGATAGTAAATGATAGAATTTAATAGCAATTCTCTAAGATTATGTACTACGTGTTTATGTGATTGAATGATATTTTGTACTATGTATTGTATATTATGGAATGTGACACACTGTTTAAGATAGGGGTGTCGATACCTGATCACTGGGCGTGCAATGGTGTGCTAGCACGGTGGTGTTTTCGAGAGATTCAAGAGATATGGATCTATATGGGATCGTTTACCCGATGAGGGGTAGTATGAATGTAATATGCCTTGTGAATTCTTTGAAATTAGATTAATGATATTGTTTGATACGTATATCTACATAGTATTTATCTACTTCAGTGTATTACTATTATTTCTATTTCATATACAACATATATACTCACTGAGTGCATGATTTATCTCACACTCCTATAACTTCTACTTTTCAGGTACTATGGAGGAAAGTGTAAACCAGTCCACTGTCCAGTTGATTGAGTCTTGTACAATGTTAGTGTGATATCACTCAGGTTAAGCGTTGGTATAACTAATTGTTGGGTTTTGTATTATATTATATTTGTGAGAGATTATTATGACAGGTTATTAGTATGCATTTGTAAACAGACTCAACAAACACACATTGTGTTAATTTAAAAAAAAAAAACATACTTTGTGATGTATGCTATATGGATATGAAATTTTGTATATATCTATAATCTGAGAAACAAATAATTGGTACAAGTGTTTTATATATGATACAGGTTATAAGACAAGTTTTATCATCATGCTTAATGATTAAAGTGATGAATGATATTATTACATCTGTGAGATTATTTAATATTTGATTAGTTCAAATTATAAATACGTAAACAAATATATCAAAAATTTAATCGCGTTTTGTAAGGGGTAGAAATCGCTACGGATCTCATCCTTCCACTTGAAAGATTCCGGCTGACCTGGCGGCACCGAGCCCCAGTAGCCTTTACCTCTCTTCACCAATAGGACTCTTTCCTAAGGCAATCTCACATCGGAAGAGAGTCGTCTTCCCCCCTGCCATATAAGTGAACACTTCTTATGGAGGAGGTACCCACTAGGCACCTGATCAGGTCGCTAGTGGGTACCTCCTCCATAGGAAGTGTTCACTTATATGGCAGGGGGGAAGACGACTCTCTTCCGATGTGGGATTGCCTTAGGAAAGGGTCCTATTGGCGAAGAGAGGTAAAGGCTACTGGGGCTCGGTAATCCTTCAAGTGGAGGGATGAGATCCATAGTGATTTCTACCCCTTACAAAAGTGTTCACTTATATGGCAGGGGGGAAGACGACTCTCTTTCGATGTGAGATTGCCTTAGGAAAGGGTCCTATTGGCGAAGAGAGGTAAAGGCTACTGGGGGGTCGCCCGCGTGGGTTAACCCAGGTCAAGCCGAAATCCTTAGTAGAGGGTTCTACCCCTTACAAAAAGGCGCCTTTTTTGTAAGGGTAGAAATCGCTACGGATCTCATCCCTCCACTTGAAGGATTCCGGCTGACCTGGCGGCACCGAGCCCCAGTAGCCTTTACCTCTCTTCGCCAATAGGACCATTTCCTAAGACAATCCCACATCGGAAGAGAGTCGTCTCCCCTCCTGCCATATAAGTGAATACTTCCTATGGAGGAGGTACCCACTAGGCACCTGATCAGGTCGCTAGTGGGTACCTCCTCCATAGAAAGTATTCACTTATATGGCAGGGGGAAGACGACTCTCTTCCGATGTGGGATTGTCTTAGGAAAGGGTCCTATTGGCGAAGAGAGGTAAAGGCTACTGGGGCTCGGTGCCGCCAGGTCAGCCGAAATCCTTCAAGTGGAGGGATGAGATCCGTAGCGATTTCTATCCTTTACACGTTTCATCTTTGAAACACCGGGATGGGGTGACACACGAGCCCCTTCCCAATCCCGTGTTCTAGTAGGTTCACATGAGGTGGTGGCTTTAGAAATCAGTCAAGTACCCCGCCGGAGTTTCAACACCCACAAAATGCCAGCCAGAAGATATATTTTTTTGACCGAAGTGGCCCATTAAAATATTAAATAAGTCCCTTTCGATGGATACATCAATGCCTCATCTTTAGACTTTATATGCCACTTTCATCGCATATATATTTTCAACATTGTCTTTTCATCTGCAAAGTGGGACTAAGTCAGAATCGCCAGCACATGACTTGAATGGGATAAATACAATTGAAAAAAAGGGTGATAAGATATGGACAGTGACGTATCATTTATAAGCATACGGAACATATGGCTACGTAATGACACCACGATTTTCATGCACACCAGTCACTGTGTCCTGCAATGACCGACCATAATGTTAGAGAGAGTTTTTTTTTTTTTTTGCCAAATAATTTATTTCTCGTGGTTATGGATTAGATGCTGAGTGTTTTTACGTAGATTGGTTGGATCTTGTATTTTGTAGGTCATTGTATATCGTTTCTTTTTTGTCGATGAAGTTTTTCTCTTTGCCTTAAATGTAATTGCTGAAGAACTTAGGAACCAATTTAGTAGGATACTAAGTTCATCAATCGTATATTTCAGTTCAAAAAAAAAGTATAATTTTATATTCAATTATACTATTCACGGAGTTGTAATTAAAGATGAATCTAATTTTATATTCAATTACACTATTCATGAAGTTGTAAACCGAAATAGCGAAATTCTTAGGTCATCTCAATGAATTCAAAAATCACACACTTCTTTGGATCATCATAACATACTTTTATATATCTACTCAGATATAGATATTTCTTTAGTGGATGACTCTTAAAATTATAATTTATAGATATGAAGCATAAACCAAAACGATTGATACAAGAAACACCAAACATATCCCAAACTTCTCCCTCCCATAAAGCCGGTCTTGAATATTTGATACCTGCACGGTCATGACCCCTCACGCTCAGTATGGTTTGATCCCTAGGGTAACCGATTCGGTGGAAAAGAGACGGACGATTAGCGGTTCTCAGGTACAGGGCCCACAATGACTTTAGCTTTATCAAAGGCAAAGTCTCCATCAAAAGAGTTATTCATGTGATAATATATGCATGTGATAATAAAAATGAATCGTAAAATCTGGTGTTATCGATTTAAATTTTGATAATTTATTAGAGTTAGATAAAAATAATTTATCTTATGAATATATTAGTTTTAACGTTTTTTAATCGGGCTAAACAAAATTAATTAAAATACGCATAAATTAATTTAAACATTACTACTAATAATAATAATAAAAAAAAAAAAAAGATAATCACCACGTCAATTCATACACGTTTGGTTTTTCTTTATCAACCTACTCCCAATTTCTATCATGGAATCTAGCTTTGTCCTAAGGTACACTATGCCAAACCCTACAAACCATGCTTCGCTTTCTTTCCGGGTCTGTTTGTAATTATAATCATTGTTGTTCAATCAGTAAAAAAAAAAAAAATCATTGTTATTAAAAACGTGATAAATTATATTAATACTTGTCCTAAATCAACATAACAATAATTTTAAACTAATATATGAGTGTTGATTGTCAATACATTTTAAATTGAATGTTTTAGCACATTTTAAATCAGCACTCACGTACAGATTCACGTTACCATTAAATGTCTTGAGGCTATACTGTCGGTGTGATCACCTTTACTTGTGTAAGAATCAAACCAATAAGTGATGAAAATTGGAAGAATGACAACAGACTCAAATGTGTGTGACACATTTTAGTACTGATGATGTTTTTCGCATGATTGAACAGTGATACGAATATAACTTTTATTAAACAGTTAGATATAGTTCAGTCTGAGCTTTAGAACTCTAGGGAATATGATTTAAGGATAAGTGAATGATTATACAGAGTGTTTATAGTGGTTCACCAACTCAAAAGTTCAGTTAATCCACTCTTAATGGAATCTCTTGGTCTTTAATGTATTGATTACTGTGTAAAATTTACAGAGAGCTTTTGTGAAGATACACTGACTTCTTGTTCGTTTAAAGGGCTTTACCTTTTATTTATAGTTATTCTTGGGTCTTGCTTGATCTAAGACGATCCTCGCCTATCTCTTGTAACGGTCGCCCTTATTACGCAATGAGATTTACACATATTGAATAATTATTGTCACAAAAAAGGGTACTCAGTGGGATCTAGCTGTCCTTGCACTGCCTTCCTCGAGATGCGGATACAGGAAGTTGAGGTTTGAGATCGAGGTCTGTAAATCATATAGATGAGCTGAATTTTCGACTTGAGTAGCATGACCTCGGTTATTGAATTCAACCTGAGGTATTTTTGTGTAGCATCAAATACTTTTGGAATCATCACCCAAACTTAAAACCGTGAGTCTCGAAGCTTTCTTTGGAATTAAGTGCGAAGAGGGAAATCTACACACGATTCATTTCTTATTTATCTATCTTATAAGCCATGAGTAGTTTAGACCGGCATCCATGCTTTACTGCACATCATTATGTATTTATTGTAGCATTGCAGAATCGTTGTGTAATTGTATTTCAACATGTGTATTTTTTTTATTATAAGGCATTCAGGCTTGCATCGATTATTCTCTCGAGTTCAGCGGCTGACTATCATAACTTGAACTGAATTAGAATATGTTCCTAAAGAGACAAGGGTGATTAATACTTAAGAAGTGTATGAAGGGATTGAATTTGATACTTTTAGATTACCAAAAATCAAACTGAACTACTGAACCATCATTTACACAAAGTTTGTGCTATTTTTTGGAGCCATTTTCTACATCTTATTTTAGCTGGTTGAAAAAGGCATTTATGTCGTTTTTCGTTTCTTTTCTACATGAAATATGAAGTTTTCGAACACCATTCAGATCATGTTCGCAGTTTTCACACCTGCGTGAACTCCCCAAGAATGTTGCTACTTACTTTCCTCAAGCCACCATTGCTCTAGCCACATGAAATCCATTTTGGTCATCTGCCCTAAGTAAGGATTAAATTTTTGCTTAGATGTATTGTTTCGGACATATAGGAAATGAAAACGCTTCAATCCGTTTTGACATGTTTCAAAAACATAATAGAAACTATTAAATAATTTGAGAATTATTTTTTTAAAACATTAGTGAAAATATAATAAAGTATCTTAAAACACTTTAAAATATTCTAAAACAATTGCGTAAATTCATCGAATCATTATGAAATATCTCGAACCATTATGAAACACCTCAAAGTATTAAAATTTTAATTTTATGACTAATTCATTTTGATTTTTTTAAAAACAAAAACGTTTCGGCTGTTTGGAGACGAAATATTAGTCATTGGGCCCAAGTTGTGCTGTCCTCCAAAGTCTTATGGTCCATCCAGCCCAACCTACAAAATAAACAGAAAACCAATTACCAGTGGCTTAAATAGTTAAATGCCCATCCAGCCCAACCCAAAAGAGGCCCATCGTAGCTTTTTCATCGGCCGGCCACCATTCTCTCGCCAATCGGTTCTGATTTTCTCTCAGAGCCGCCTCACTCTCTGTCTGTCTGTGCCGCCAATCGGTTCTGATTTCGTTGAGTGGGAAGGGAGAAAATGCCATTGGGACTGATATTAGGGTTAGGGAGGGCATTTAGAAGGAAGCGCACATCGTCTCTTGACATTCTCACTTCGAAACGTGGCCCAAGGGATTATTACAAGGGGAAGAATTGCATACCAACTGGTTTTCACACTCGCAAAGGTTTTGATTTTACTCTTCACTTTGGTCACTTCCTTTGGGTTTGAATCTCTACTTCTAGCTTTGCCAGCACATTCATTATGCTATGTTAGAAGTCTTAAGATGGAATTCTTTTGCTGACACGCCACCTAATGAGTACTATCTGAAGATTAAACTATTTTAACTAGTTATGACAAGAAGTACAAATTTATTTTCTCTTCCCTTTCTTGATTTTGCATCAATATTCCAAAACTGATTTAGGACCTATGCTAGACTCTCAAACTTACGAAGTTGGGAAGGGTGATTCTTAAAATTCCTTGTTCTTACTGGGTTCTAAAATAGAGTGTGGATTAAGTATGAGAAGTTTCAGGAGCAATACTACTTGATCTAATTTATTGACATAATTTATTGACTTAATCACTCACAATCATTTGATGGTAGTGAGGCTCAAGATTGGTTGAGACCCGCTATCAATTCAATGGTGATGAATTATGTTAGTAAATTATATCAGCAAATTAGGTCCCAGTAGTATTATTGGAAATTTCAGTGTTGTTCATATCATTGAGATTATCCATTTCATTAAGATTTGAAACAATTATGGTGCAATGAGTAGAAAGTACAATGACTTAATTTCGAAGGTCATCTGTGGACTGTGGCTACTTTTTTTATCAGAGACTATCTGAATGCTCTTATTGTTCCAACTTGTCCAATATACAGAGGGTTTTATTTGTTTCATTGCTGGTCCCGCTGCTTAAGAAGGGAGGAAAATTCTATAATCAACACAAAAAGAAAAAATCCTGACTTTGTTTATCAGAAATACTTTGTAAACGGATAATAATCTTCTAAGTTTTCCCGCATTTGGCTTTGTACACATGTGAGTTCACTCAGTCGTAAGCACATTTGTGCATTATCGGTTTTTTGGATGTTCTCCCTTGGTTGAATTACATATCTACTGAAGGGAGGATTACAGTTTTCAGTTTCAGCTACACGATGCAATAAGTACAAATTTGTTTTACACTTATACATATTGGTGCAGGTGGTTATGTAGTGGTGCAAGAAAAACTGCCAAACTATGTAGTCCCTGATTTGACTGACTTCAAGGTACTTAAATTCAATAAAATTATTAATATTCCGAATTAGGAAATTGGCTTTACATCTGATGACTTTGGTCTCTTGACTTCTTGGCGCAACCACATTTTTGAATCTATTTTTGAGTATGTATGCCCCAACAATCCTGCATTACTTTTTTTGAAGTGCCTTTGAGTTCCCAGAATGGGCTTTTAGCCTTTATTTTAGACAGGGTATTACTGATGATCCATTAGTACAGGCTTGGGCATGGAAACTATAGGCCTGAAATTTAGCTGGCCGTCTCACTTACTTAAAAGGCTGAAAGCTTGGCAAGTAGAGGCCCGGAGGTTAGCTGGCCAGGCTGAGATTGCATCCTCTGTGGTTCTGGGGTTATTGTGGGACCTTTTTTTCACATATTCTATCAGAAGAGATGATGATATAGCTTTATTACAGGCTCAACTATTGTGTTTGTTGAGCCATTTGAATTTTAACTTCAAATTTGAACTTTGTATTCTATAGATAGCCTTAGCACAGATTGTAAGCTTGCTTTTGTTCATATGCTAATTGACTTGGACTTTCTCATTTGCAGCTAAAACCATATGTGTCCCAGTGTCCAATAGAAGTTAGCTCTACTGAGGCTGCTGATTCGGGTAAATAAATCCATGGAGTTTGAAGAAATTAATAATCTGCCTTTCGGCATGGAATTTTACTATGCATGTTGCTCTCCTTTTGTTCCCTTCCTCTTTTTATCTTGTTGAGTTCTGGGGTTTTCCCCAAGGGAGAAGAGGGTGAGGTTCAGGGGCAGCTTAGGCTACTTGATAGATTTTGATTTTGCTTATACTCATTCTCTTTTTTTAGTATTATGCTACTTGGTAGATTTTGAATTGGTTTGTACTCGGTCTCTTATTTAGTTATGACTACCTTGTTTCTAACATGATTCACTGAAATTACTTTGACTATGTTGAAACAATGATCATGAGAGAAACTTGTGTTAACGCAAACTACTGGGATGAAACTGCACTTACCTGCCTCTGAACTGAGGCTGCATGGTCATGACGATTCCACAAATTAGTAGCAAAGCCTTTAAGTATGTAAGTTAATTGTTCACTCAATCCATATTTGTTTTTGGTTTTTTTGTCTGTTGGTGCAATGGCTTATTACTGCGCTGCTCAAACTATGGTCCTATGCTGTCATGTATGGTCCTATGCTGTCATGATGGGACTTTTCTGAAAAATTCCATGATGAAGACACGTGTCCTCGGTATTACCAAAACACTGTTGCTAAGATCAAGCACCATCGGCTCACAAAGGTCCCTCGCTCCCGAGGTACTCGTCATATGGGATCATTGCATTCAGTACGTTTTACAACCGACACGTAGCCTCGGTCTGATATGGTGCCTCGATCGGTATACCTCATTCGGTTCCGAGATGTGCCTTTCCTCGGTGCCGAGAGGTACCCCATCCTGGACGCCTCCTCTACTCCAGAATAAGCTATTGACGTACAGGTCATTAGCCTAGGCTATTCATCATGACCTTGTCTTACACAATTGGTGTCAGAACGCACAGGAATGCAGGGGCCACAGCCAATGGGGGATGGACGCATGGCATATGATGTCACATCAAAGACAGAAAAATCGCATGCCGTTGCTGACACGCGACTTGGGAAAACAAACGATTAATTACACCATTCCCTTGACGAGACTGCATTCAATGCGGTAAGGCTCGGAAATGAAAGACAATAAATGTTCCTAATACAGAGCATTTATTGCATCCTCCCTGAGGGGAGTTCATTGTACCGTCGGCATCCTGATGACGCAACATTGATTGCTCAGGACCCCGAGCAGTTAAAAAGAGAAGACATTCCTCATCAGAATCAGTGCGCACACTGCCTGTACCTAATGATCACCTACGGACTACACTGACAGCAATCATGAGCTTTTGAGGTATAAATACTCCTCGCAAAAGGCAAGACGGTACGCAAGAAAAAACCTTTGCTACAATACACACTCAGTGTTTTCTTCTTCCTCTCTCTCTCAAAGACTGACTAGATCGTCGGAGGGGATACGTCGGAAAACACTCCGGCGCCCTTCTAACTTGTTCTTCTTTGTTCTAGGAACCTTTCTTCCAGCCTTACTGGATCGTTCTTCCACTCCCCCAGGGTCTCCCGTTGTCGTTCTAGGTTACCACCGGACCTCGTAGGCTGTTCCAAGCAGCGTGGTTGACCACTCAACTGACTCACTGGAGTTCACCAAAGGAGAGATTTGTTCTCGTTTTTATATTGTGCAGGATCGTGTACGCACAATCTGGCGCCGTCTGTGGGAAACGACTAGTTTTCTTAGTTTTTTCTCTATAAAGAACAGTGACCATGGTGAACACTCGACAGAAAGGGAAAGACCCCCACCAAAGGAGTCTTGAATTACAAGCTCCCTGTCACCACGGAGGGAGGGATCACACCGATATGAATAAAAGTGCCTCTACTCAGTCAAGAGGGGTTACCCCTCAAACCAGTATGGGAATCAGGTCAGGGGGATCAGCCCCCTTGGCTCGTCAGCTGGCGGAGGTGATTGAAGAAAAGTTTGGCGATAGATTACGACAGCTGGAAAAGGACAATGTAAACGTCCTAAGCCGGCTCAACGAGTTTGCCGCCTCCGGCGAAGGATCGAGGGATTCATTCCTTTCTCGTGGGCTTCCCGCCCGGGAGGCGAAAACGAAGGATCTAAGAAACCACCTAAACAACAAAGCAGAAAGCTCTAGGGCCCCAAAGCGACCCAGAGACAGCGAGCATCATCATGACGACCATTCAAGGAAGGCAAGGCCATTGGCCCTGGACGACCTCCGGCGAGGTTTGTCTAGACGGAGGAAGGGAGATGAATCCGAGGAGGATTCAACCCAATCCACACGACGCCCAGAAATGAGGGGCCTACCGATGAACTCAAGGACTTCAGAAGACATCCCGTCAGGGAGGAAATTGATCTCAGAGCCCGGTTGGAATCCAGGAGAAAGGGTAAGGCTGTCCAGGATGAGGCCGAAGACGAAGTCATACAAACACCCTTTACGAGGGAGATCGGTGAGATGGAGGTTTCAAGAAAGTTTGTCGTGCCGCGGTTCAAAACTTATGACGGGCGGTCCGATCCCGAAGCCCATGTCAGGCAATACAAGCAGATGATGTCCCTCTATCATTCGGACCAACGGTTTCTCTGCCGAGTGTTTCCTATGAGCTTGGGGGACTCTGCGATGAAGTGGTTCGAGGCGCTTCCCCCCAACAGTATTGGGTCGTGGAAGGAATTGACGAAGCAGTTCCTGGCTCGATTCATTACGGGGAGTAAGCGCCCCAAAGACGTTGGATCATTGCTGACCCTCAGACGTAGGGAATCCGAGACTCTTCGCCAGTACGCCATCCGATACTGGGAAGAGGTTAATGAGGTAGAAGGCTGCTCGGAAGTCATGGCAGCAGCATCTTTCCGGCTCGGCTTGGCAAGGGACACGGACCTGTACCGATCCCTGACCAAGAAGACTCCCTCGGATATGGGGGAACTGATGGCCCGGATAAACAAATACTCGAGGGTTGAGGACGAGATGGGAAGCAGCAAAGGCCGAGCCCTCCAATCTAAGAGAAAAGAGAGGGAGCGGGAAGATATTCCCCGAAAGGGATTGCTACCCCCTCCAAGGGGTTCGTCCAAAGGAGTTCACACTGTGTTCAAGGAACCCATCTTCAAGTTGCTCCATAAGATCAAGCACGAGCCGTTCTTCAAATGGCCGCCCAGGATGCAGAGCGACCCCTCCACCCGTGATCAAAAGGTTAGGTGTTCCTATCACCGGGATTTCGGGCATCGCACCGAAAGCTGCAGGGTGTTCAAATCGTTCTTGGAAAGATTGGTCCGAGACGGATACTTGAAAGAATACATAGAGCCCAGGCCAGAAGAGAGACAAGCCCTTGCCCCGACCGAGGAGCCGGACAACATCATAGATGTCATCCATATATGTCCCCTGGATCGCCCCACGTCCAAGGAACTCGAGTCCGACCTCAAGAGGGTAGCTTTTACGAGGAAGGTAGCCGAGGTTGATGTAGGGCCACCTAGTAAAAGGGCCAGGACGGGTGAGCTTGACATTACATTCTCCGACGCGGACTTGACAGGCGTAGTGACTCCTCATAACGACGCCCTTGTCTTGACCCTGAGGATAGGAAAATTCGACGTCAAAAGGGTGTTGATAGACTCTGGAAGTTCCTCGGAAGTGATGTACTCCGAGACTTTAAAACGGATGGGTCTTGGCCTCAAAGACCTCACCAAAGTCAGGACACCCCTCATCGGATTCAACGGCTCGTTCGCCCTGCCCGTGGGGAAAATCACATTGCCAGTTGTCACGGGTCCCTTCGTCATCAACACCGAGTTTGTCGTGATCGATACGGACTCTCCCTACAACGTGATTATGGGGCGAACATGGCTGCATGCGTTGGGAGCGGTGCACTCCACTTTCCACCAGAAATTAAAATTTGCCACGCCAGAAGGTATCATGGAGATCCGGGGGGACCAAGCGTCCGCGAAAAATTGTTTTTATTCAGCCGTTCGAGCCGGGGCGTTCAGCCAGGAGAAGGGGCGAGCACCGGAAGAGATTATGGAAAAATAGCAATCACAGTCCGGGCGTCCAGGAATGGATGACCCCCGGACTGAGGTCGGTAGAAGACCTCCGGAAAGTGCCCTTGGTGGAGGGAGAAGAAGAGAGATATTTCTTAGTTGGGACCTCGATGCCCACAGCCGAACAGGAGGAGATGATCGAGTTCCTAAGGGGAAATACAGACGTGTTCGCGTGGAACGAAATGAAATGACGGGGGTAGACCCCGAGATAATCACACACAGGCTGCATGTTGACCCGTCGCACAAGCCAGTCAAACAGAGGCCACGACGCATGGCCCCGCATCACGCCAGCGCGGTCAACGAGGAAATCGACAAACTCCTGAAGGCCGACGCCATTCGAGAGATACAGTTCCCAGAATGGCTGTCTAATACGGTATGCGCGAAGAAGAAAGGGGGAAATGGCGTGTCTGCGTAGACTTTACAGATCTAAACAAGGCATGTCCCAAGGACGACTACCCCTTACCAAAGGTGGACCAGCTAGTAGATGCCACTGCCGGATATGAACGAATGGACTTCCTGGATGCCCGAGCAGGATATCATCAGATCCCTCTCCATCCCCCGGATCAGGAAAAAACGGCGTTTATCACTCCGAAGGGAGTTTACTGTTACAAAGTGATGCCGTTTGGACTAAAGAACGCCGGGGCAACATACCAAAGACTGATGAATCGGATGTTCAAAAAGCAGATCGGCAACACCATGGAGGTCTACATTGACGATATGCTGGTGAAGAGCAAACGAAGTTGTGATCATCTGACAGATTTGGCGGATACCTTCTCCACCCTCAGGGAGTATGGGCTGAAGCTGAATGCGGCAAAGTGCGTTTTCGGAGTGGAATCAGGTAAATTCCTCGGGTACCTGGTCAGTCAACGAGGAATCGAAGCTAACCCAGATCAGATTCAAGCGATCCTGGACATCCGGAGCCCCCGCACTGTCCGAGAAGTCCAGAAACTCACAGGGATGCTGGCAGCACTTAACCGTTTCGTCTCACGCTCCTCGGACAAATGCAAACCCTTTTCGGAGCAATCAAGAGTGCTGGGAAGATATGTGGAGCCGGGGGTGCGAGGACGCCCTGGCTGGAATCAAGGAATACCTAAGGACTCTTCCGACCTTATCCGTCCCCATCCAGGGGGAGATGCTGTTCTTGTACTTGGCAGTATCTGAGTTTGCGGTAAGCGGGGTACTTATTCGTGAGCATGAGCACCGCCAGAAGCCGATTTATTATATAAGCAAGGCGCTCCTGGACGCAGAGACAAGATATCTACCCCTAGAGAAACTGGCTCTATCCCTGGTCACCACTGCAAGAAAACTGAGGCATTATTTCCAGGCGCACCCAATCACTGTCCTTACCGATCAGCCCTTAAAAGCGATCTTGAGGAAAGCGGAACTCTCCGGAAGGATTTCCAGTGGGCAGTAGAGTTGGGGGAGCACGACATTCATTTCAAACCC